CGGAAACAATATATATATATATATATAGCATATATATATATATATATATATAGCAATGACGCAATATTGGCCAAGTGCGCATGTTCCATCGTTTAAAAAAATACAAGGCGAGAACACGTCTCTCTTTGTGGTCGAGCTTCGTCGTGATAAAATGAGGCGTGCTCATGATACTTGGGCTTATTAACAGCCGGCGTCGACGTGGCATACTTATGACTGTCGTACATCCTCTATTTAAAGAATCGGATGACCCTCGAAAAGCGAACGTAATGACGCATCACTAATTACCCCTGCCTCGTCCGTTGTGGCAAGAATGGCTCATAGAAGGCGATAGAGTTTCAGCGGCAAGAAACGCACAATCGCCAATTGATGTTAATGCGAGTTGGATTGATACCAGAGAAACTTTGGTCATTATCGTCCCATGAATTTCACAATGCGAGCTCCAATCGCGCGTTCGTTTATCAAAATTTCATATTCGATTATTGAAATAACATTTATTTAAGTACTCAACTTTATTTAATGTGATATTACTTAATTCTCCCCTCCCCTCCCTTCCTCTCAATCATTTAATTCTTTCGACAATTTTATAAATATTTATCTATTCTTTTTATTCATTATATATTAATTCTATAAACGCGCGTTCTCTCCAATCTTTATCGATGTTACATCGCACATTTATGTGAATCTTTTCCAGTTCAAACTTAATCGCTACCTACCGTTCCGCGTCTCGACATCGAACACATTCGAGCTCTCGTCCGGCGGCCGGTCCTCGGAAACATCCGAGTCCTTATTCTTTTCCGTCTTTACGAGATTATCAAATCCCATTCCCGCGTCCTCGCAACCTTCGCCCTCGGGTCTCAACCCTTCCCGTCGTTCGACAGATGTTCCCGAGCGCTCCACCTCGTCCTTGAAGCGAACGGTTTTATTCACGCTCGCGGGCGACACCTGTTCGCCCTGTCGGTTTTTCAGAATCGGTGCTCGGACGAACAGATCGATCATCGTGCGCTCGATCTTCAGGTGCTCCTCCACGATGCGGTCCAGGGTGCTCGCGTACGATCTTTCGCGATCGTCGTACGAGCTACCGCGTCCACAGATCGAGCTCATCCGGAACTCATCCGGATCTCCAGAATCCAGCTGTTCGTTCGTCTCGGGTCCCGCGGGAATCGCTACGGTGTTCATCCGCCTGAAATCGAGGCTGTTCAACTTGTTCTCAAAGTTCTGCCGGGTCTCCGTGTTACGAAAGCACGGCGGCGGGTCGATGAGGAACTTCAGCGCTTCCAGGTGCTCGTAATATTCACGCTCGAGCTCCCCGGCCCTTCTTCCGGCGACGTCGGCCCCCTCCCGCCGTTCGGTGTCGTTGCCTTTCGACGGTTCCACGCTTCTCGCGGGGATCTTCCTCTTCCTCTTCAGGTGGACTCCATTAACCGCCCCTGGGATTCCCACGCCCTTCGACCTGACGTCGTCGCCGCCAGTCGCGAGCAGTTTCCTCGACTTCGGGCGTATCTCGTGCTTGCTTCTGGTCCTCGCGAGTCCTCGTCGTTTCCACGAAGCGCCGAAGCTGCGTATCGCGATCAGAAATCGAGCGTTGGATCTCGACGAGGTGATCTTCTGAGCGGATTCGGAACGACGATGATGATGACGCTGACGCCGAGTGGACGGTCGTTTCGTCATCACCAACGGATCCGTCGTCTCGCAGCCGCGCCGTTGCGATGAGCGTCGTTGATTCAGCGTCATCAGACACTGAATACAATCGAACAACTTCATCTTCGCGGAAAATCAAATTCAATCTTCCAATTTTATCCTGTATCTCCTAGCACTTATCTCGAGCTTCGCTCGTATAAAGCGTCGCGATTGTCATCCCAATCGAGCGTCATTAATTATTATTGATTCAGCGCGCTCGCGCTGAATTTACTTTCGTCGCGTGATTTGTCACGACGAGTTCACCCTTTCTTTCCTCATTACGTAATCGCATGCGGATTCATTAAACATCGATTCGCGACCATTGTACCGCCGGATAATACGCGCATTGTTGATGATCGCGTCATTCACAGGCATCACTCGCCGTGTTGTGTGCGTTTCCTGATTGAACACTCATCGGCATCGCCCTTTATATTAACTCGAACATTCGGTTAATCGTTGATCAAACTAGACAGAGAAAAAGATTCACAGGAAGAAAACTCCCATTGTTACGATAAATCGGAGGATCAGGGGATCGATCACATAATCATCAATTTCACACTTTCCATTTCTCCTTGGTTCGAAATTGTTAAATTTATTTGTTATTATTATCACCATGCTGACGAAAAAATATTACACGATGTATGCAAATTTCTTGACGACGTGCACACCTCGCTTTTACCGAAACTTCTACCGAAAAATCACGTGATCGATCCCCGATCCTCGATCGCGAGCCAGAAATTCTCGCGCTCCCGACGCTTCTTCTCCGTTAAACGACGCGACTTGGAAATTCGCTTGCTCGGCACGGCGCGCTCGGCAAGGTGTTCCCCGAGACTGAGACGGGAAAGGTGGGTCCGCAGGCGGCGGCCCCCGAGAAGGAAGAAGAAGAAGAGAAGAAGAGGGTCGCCTCCTCGACGTAGGGCCTTCCCGGAGAGCCGAGGGTGCGCCCGCACGGAATTGCCGGCGTGTCGTTGTGGTGGCAGGTGTACCGTCGTGTACGTGAGAGTGTATATGTGAGTCGGGGAACAGGTGGGTTGCGTGTGTGCGTGAGACAACACGCACGTTCGACGTCGTTCGGCGTGGGTATGCCTCTGTCTGGATGCGCACTGTACCGCGACGAGCAATTTGGAGAAAAGAGCCCGTAATGATCAGAGTGGGATGATCCGCGTACATTTATGGTCTCTCGTACACGTCATACGTCGCGCGCGCGCGCGCGATCATTAGACCGTCATTATCCGATCCGGAGAATCGGAAAGAGCCGCCAATTATCGGCGATTGATTAAATGGGACAAAGATCTAATAAGGACGAAGTCGGCTTTCGAAATTGATATCTCCCGATGTTCATTCGCGATGATACTGATTTATTTGAAGTTTATCGCTTTATCTAGAATCCTCATCGATCCATATTGGCTTTTTAATTATTTGTGCGTAATGCATTTTATGCTTCGATATTATATCTCTACTTTCGTTATTCACTTTGATAATTTATGATTAAATAAAGCTGGATAATAAATAAAGATAAATGTGAAAGGTGTCTTTTAATTGTAAAACCAAATACAATAAAATATAATGTAAAAAGTTTTGCTTCATCTAATATGAGAGTAATATAATGAAATCTCAATAAATTTCAATATAACGAATTTCTAAAACTCACAGAACATATTTCACGCATGAAGGGGAGAATGAGAAATCATATTTGTAACTGCGTTATAAAACAAATAAATGAGACACTGATCTAAATATTCGTTGCGAAAAATTTTCGAAAGAGATTATTTTTATTCTTTCGCATGCAAAGCTAAGCGTCAATAGACGACGACGTACCGGCACGATTAATTCGCCAACCAAAACGTCACCAACGCTAACTTCGGTTTCTGCGGTTGTCGCGCATAAAGGAACCGGCCGCCATTGTTCACCGTTGAGATCATCGGAGATAATTAAACTACGCGTATTGTACGCTCAGTTAACTGGCAGGATTATTGTACTCGATCAAACACCGGCAGTCATGCGTGGGTAATTCTGAGTCCTCCGACGTAATGCGACGCGCGAACAACAACGAATCGAATCGAACATACATAAGTTGCGGAATTTCTGAATTAATGACAAACGTCGTGGCTCATATCCTGGATGTTTACGCAACTGCGGTGCCCGCGCGAATAATTCTATCAATAAATTAATCATATTACTCTCGTGGAATTATTTCAATTACTGGCGTCGTAATTACGATCCCGCATCCGTAAAGACAGCCGCGTGAAATATTAATTGAAAAATGATAGTTTGCCCGACGTTTGATACCGCACGAGATTAATCGGGAATCGATATCGGACGCGGCTCGCTTGCTTCAAACAGGCGATTAAATTGAGAAGTGCTCGTAAATTCGACATTACATAATTTAATTAATCATGAGCCATTCGTCAAATTCATGACGCATTCGTCAAAAGTTTCTGTCATATAACGGCTCATCAATTGTTAATTATCGATATACGCCTCGTATCCTTCTCGTCGGTCGTTTTACGTGTAAAACACAATTTTTAATTATGCTAAGAGCCGGGGAGTAAATTGATGTTTATATAAGGAAATGGCAAACTTACTGGCAACGTTCCTCTCCGTTTCCGTCCGACGGCACGTTGTCGTGGTCCTTGTGGTGATCTCTGCGGCAAGCAAATGACAGAATTACGATTAGTTCTCGCTTCATAAATGAACGAGGGACTGATCGACCGGTGAATACCTACTATTCTGAATTTCAGTGGTGTTCTCCTGCAAACTGCTCCTGTAGATCCTTCTTTTCGGCGAGCCGATATTTTCTCTGCGGCGTAAGGGAAAAAAAGAACAAAAATAAAAATTTTAATCAAAGTGCAGTCAAATAAAGTTTCCATTCATCACGGAGAAAAATCTCGATATCTCAATTAACTTACTGATTAAGACCGAGTTTTAATTGTTCCCCAGAATTACGTACGCAGAGCGTGTGCCTCGCTGTTGGTCAGATCTCGAGTGCTCTTTCCATTGATATTGCTGATCAGATCACCTTCCCTCACCCCCTGCTGGGCTGCCTTGCTTCCCGGATTCACCTGAAGCAACGGTATCGTTTAATTAAAAAAAATTCAAACAACATCAGAAAATTAGTTCGCGATGATTTAACACGAACGAATGCGAGTAAACGCGACTCAAATTTATCGTAAATCGCCGAGCGAGTTATCAAACCGGATAGCCGGTTGAGAACCACTGCATCTCTCGTTGCGCCTGGAGACAGGCAACTTCCCAGACGCCGACGCTGCCTGAAAGCGGCCGCACAGGCGAAGCGACGACAAATTACTGTCACGGTGGATCGAAACGCGATGAAATATGGTCGTCGCCGCCGATTTCAGAAGTCGATATTTTGCAAATTGACAGACGCCGCAGAATAGCAAACGATATTAAAATACTCGAACACGTAAGCTTATACTTATATTACTCGCGAGACTTTTTTACTTTTACAAGTGACAGATTGCGCGAGACCGAACAGCGAGTCTGCGAGTGTGTCTGTGATATCGCAGCGACAACGAAATTCAACGAACGATTCACGTACCGAATCCCCCAGGATAGATCTGGAAAAATTAACTTTCTACCGGCGACGTCCCTCCGCGCCTCGAGTTGAGAGTAGATTTAAGTCGCAGACGCTTAAGATTCTCACCGTGCCGTCGCACTTCCGTTGGCCGGATGCGACTCGGAACTTCAACATCCCGAGGATTCCTTCCTCGCTCGATATCCTCGCAGTTGACAAACGCTATCAGCGGAACTTGAAAATACCCAGCCAAGAAGGCTCGCCTCGTCCCCTTCGTCACCGCAGAAACTTTTATCGTCGAACGTTACGAGCCTCGAAACGTTCGACTCCCTTTATTTAGTTTACGAAACAAATCGGCACGCGGCCTCGCGCGCGTTTCACTAACTTTGTAATCCCCTTTTGCTTTTGTATCTTCTGGAAAATTTCCAAAGCTACATATGTAGGAATCCCTTTTTACCTGTTAAATTTATCAAAACCCAGTAAACACCGACGGTAACGAACGGTAACATCAACATTACAATTTCCCACTCAATAATGTAACTATCATGTACAATATTACATTTTTATTATTGAATAGGAAATTGTAATGTTGATATAATGTCACCGTGTTATCTGACGTTTACCGGGAAAATTCTATATTCCTAGTCGTATTTTCGAATCCGTCCGAATTGACGCATGACGGATTATATAAAGTAATGCGGAAAGATAAGAAAAGATGTCGGCAATAGCAAGATCATCGCGGATTTCACAAACGAGACAGAATTCAGGAATGTCTCTGAACCGAAGACTAGAACGACCGACTAGAAGACGAGCCGGTGCACAACGCGTCGGAGAGACGAACGTGTACTGAAAGCCCTGGTCCCCTGGATGCATCCACGTCGTTAGACCGTCGTCACACCGGCGCCAGACTTTTCGGCTACAGCGGAACAACAGGGGTGGTTTCGCGACTGACCTTCCCCGCGATGTTGTTTGGATTTCGGGAGATGGGTGTAACTATGAGATATATGGCGACCCGATTTCCCGGGCGAAGGACTCGATTTTATTTACGCAAACCTGGCCTTTACGTTAACCTGGCCTTCGGCCAAACCGCATTGTTTCTCGCATTAACTTGATTGAAAATGTACGTATCAATCGCGCCATTCGAGTCATTTCTTTTTCTCTTTTTTTTTTTCATTTCGCTTCTCGACGTCGCGTGAAAATCGTTTGGTGTAAGCAACGGCCGAAGATAACGTTTACTTAAGTCGCACTAATAGAATGAGATGGATGAGATAAACTTTCGCAGTTTGATATTTATTACCGAGGAAACTGCCGCAAGAGAGAGAGAGAGAGAGAGAGAGAGAGAGAGAGAGAGAAAGAGAGAGAGAAAAGGATGGAGGCAGGAAGCCAAATTATCGACTCGGCAAGCGAATGAACAGCCATGAAAACACGCTCGACGTAAGACAGGCGGACGAGCGTTGAACTACCAGACGAAATTCCACGCTTTCATGCCTCGCGCATAAGTCTTTCAAACTTTTAACTATGCGAGACACATAGATGCGACGACGACTTGCCGTCGACAAAACTTGGGACACTCTGCTTCATTATCAACTAACGCGAGTCTCGTGGCTAAAGAACTTTCCGAGACGTTTGCGACAACATACTGCCCCACAGATTCTACGGCATAAACAAACTCTTGACAATCATTTAAAAAAATATAAATTGATCGATTAATTAATTAATCAATGATTAATCAATGATAATTAATTTTTTAAGGAAAACACGTAAATTTAAAAGCAATAAACTTGATGTAACGTTTTTTTTTATAAAAACTGATAACTCAATCTTCCATTTCGACGATACTTTCGAGATACTCATTTTATGGTCGAGTGCCACACAAGTTTCGTTCGATTTTAACGACCCTTTAAGCGTCGTGTAGCGAGGCCGCAGAAGCGATTGGAGAAAGCGATGGAGAAAATTGCTTTCGGGCAACGCGAGATAATAGCATCCAGAGGCGAGAATGCGGCGATGGAAAACGACGGAAAAATCGGACAAGATGATGCAGGACCGACCAGTCGAGGATCATCGTGACCAACTCTCCGCGGGATACCAGCGAGGTAATAAGGGATCGCCAGGGCCACAGAGGCTGCCGAACCTGCCCGCGGGTATTCGCACACTTTGTTAAAACGCTCGCATAATTCGTTTCACGATCGTGCGAATAATTCCGGACGCGCCATTTGAGGATCAGTCGAGGGACTCGGGCAATTTCGGAGCGAAAAAAAGAAGAGAGAGAGAGAGATCACCTCCGGGAAACTAAGGGAGATTTTTAACTTTCCTGACGTTTCATTTATTTGCAATCCTAATTTTTTGGATTGCAAATTTCCTCAACTCGAGGAAAATTCGAAAGAAATAGCGAAGAAGGGACGAGCTTCTCCGTCGACTGTTCAATGAGCTCGAAATCGAAATTTTTTTCACGCCACGGTCGATTTACGTTTTGCAGTTACGTCGTAACTCTTATCGAACTCGAAAACCTGTCGGAAGTGTTTCGTATTTGATTATACTACGACGTTGTATCGGCGCTTCCGAAGCGATTTATATCTCCTGACGAGGATACGCGCGGCAATCATGCGACGCGGCAGACCGAAAAATTGAATATTCCCGAGCGCGTTCGATGCCGATGCTCGAACGGTGAAGCGATGCCGCATTTTTTTTCCGCGTATTTTCCAACCGTTACACTGTCCTCGCATAATTGTGAGAACAAATTGACCTAACGGTGACGAAAACCGCCGGTACTTCCGTTCTATCGATCCTCGCGACCTCGCGACATTTTTCTTTTAAACGTGCATTTTCAAGGCGCTTCTTTTCCACGGCTGATACATTTTACCATTAATCAAACTGTATCTCGCGCGGCTTGATCTTTATATTTGAAGGAACTAAATATTACAAGCGATAAATAATTGTCTCGGCCGCTCTCGTGACCGTTTAACGAGCGAAGAATATGGGGAACGTCGACGACCCAGCTTTAATTGACGGAGCCAATTCGCGCCATTATGTGATTATCGCGCAATAAAGGCGGTCCGTTACGGACAAAAGACATCGTCGAAATCGAGAAATTACCGTTCGCCATGAAGGATCGTTAGCGGTCTCTTCCATTCTAGGTACCGTAGAGATTCCGCTACCGAATAAGACGTGAAACTGCACGTGAGACACTAATACGCGTAACGATCGGTTTACGAGGAACGGGACAACAACAATGAGTGTGCGGGTAGGTACGACGTACAATGCATTCGGCGACGAGTGGTAAACTTTCCATGGAAAAAAGAAACTTGTCAGATATAAGTTACGACAGCGCGGAGGATGGAAATGGAAAATTGCAAGATGCCGGGCACGAGCCGCCCGAGTCACGCATTTATCAAGAAATGAAATTTTTCCTGCAGTCCGCGACGGCACTTCCTAAGACTCGGATCCACGTGTGACATATGGCTATATAAATTCCACGGAAAAAAGATCCAATCCTGGCGGAAGACTCTCCGAATATCATATCGTCCTTTTTTTTTTTACGCTTCACTTGATGTACGAACAGAGATAATTATGGAACAGACGAGAGAGAGAGAGAGAGAGACTCAAATTACATGAAATATTTCATGGACAATTTAACGCGTAACATTCGTGATTCAACTAGCATTTAGACACATCGATCGTTTACGCGGAAAAGCGGAGACGGAGTCTATCCACGAATTGCGTATGCATAAGAAACACGTAACAAGTCGAAGAGATTTCCAGGTAGTCGACACTTTCGAGCCACGTGAGCGGAATGCATTACGCTTATGTCTCCTCGCTCTCGAGAAAGAGAGTCGGATTTTTCAATATTTCGCTTCGAAATCCGTTTCCGCGACGACTGTATCGCGAAGTGAATTATGGCCACTCGTGACAGACACTAAATTGTAATTTAGCTGTTGATCACGCCGCTTCGGCGATAAATCTGGGAACACCCACCACGATACGCGACACTCGAGCAAGATAACAATAATTATAAATATATTACGTTACAAAATATATATATATATATATATATATATATATATAAATAAAATTTGAAATTTATTGACTCGTAATATTCATTTCAATTTTGATCACGAACGAGCGCTTAATTTTCTTAAAAGTACCTAACAAGGCGCGAGATAGTTAGAATTTCATAATTGAATAAAAGGCACCGTAATATATGAATTTCGCATTAATTCATAATTCAATCTTCGCGCTTTCACGAATATCAGAGAAATGGAAATTTCATCTAGTTTCACTTACGGTTCGTTTTAGTCGTGTTAACGACGGGACAAATTTTTTTTAACGAAGAGAAAGCCATCCCCGTGTAATAATTATTGTAATTTTGAAACGAGGTGCACTTGAGAGATGTAGAAAGAGGAGTACGAGCAAATAAATTATGAGTTATTACTTTACAATTGATCGCTCGTGTCTCTTGGAAACAGTTTGCGCCCGCGAGTTTCACCTGCTGTTGTTAGTCTTATAATCGAGGCGTGCATTAATTATAAC